GGTCAACACCTACGTTCGGTTGATTCAGATAGTTGTTCTGTTTGAACTATGGTCAACACCTACGTTCCGTTGATTCAGAAATAGTTGTTCTGTTTGAACTATGGTCAACACCTACGTTCGGTTGATTCAGAAATATTTGTCCTGTTTGAACTATGGTCAACACCTACGTTCGGTTGTTTCAGAGGACTGGGATTTCAGTATTTGACAGAACAGGTCACGTTTATTCAATATATAAAAAAAATCGGTACTTCAAAGAGTAAATATATATATATATATATATATATATAAGTAATAAGGGGAAAGTTTATTATATTTTTGAAGAAATGTTCCTACCATTGCATCATGATCAATTCTTTGGACAAAATCCGTTACAACTTTCCATCTGTGGACAGTGTACCAAAGAGTTCCCTGGAAATAATCTCCACCATTCAAGAAAATCACATTTTTCTCCTTGCTGCGAATTTCTTTCACCTGTTGGAAATATTATATTATAATATGACATGATTGAGAAAATACAAGCAAACAATATTTAGTCTATTAAACGTACAGTTTGTGAAAACAATCAGTTATTCTTTTTAATATGTTTATTTATCTAAGATAGTAAATGTTACAAGACACGATTCATCGAACAAATTGGCTCGATACACACAGAGAACGATCGTGTATCTCGTACAGTTTGCTTTGCAGTGCTTGATTCACACAGAGAACGATCGTGTATATTTGATCTTTAGATAAAGATCTTTTAATTAAGCTTGTTTAAGACTGTTAGAGCAAGAGAGTGTTAAATCTAACATGGAAAAACTGGTATCTAACATTATAGTTTTTGATTAATATTAATAAACAAAGGTTATAAATTAGACGTTTCAGAAAGTCTTGTTAATATGCATATATTAACCAATCAATATAAGTACTGACCAAGTAAATCTAGTATTCGTAACAAACGGTGCTGTAACTATAGTAACAAACGGTGCCTGGACTACATTTCCATTAACCTTGGCAACAGCCCTATTATACTTATGTTTATTTATCATTTGAAAACGATAACAAAAACAAAGAATGTGTAGGTTCAAACAAAGGATAAAAATAGTTACGTACAAGGTTACTTGTTAATCTTTACAGCGACACCTCCCACTCGGCCCACAATATTATATGCAGTCTACGCTAGTCTAGTTTTGTATAAAATTTTATTCAACACTCCGTATTAGGCTTTGCTGCCCATCTAATTTTTAAATAAAATGTTTACGGACAAAATTTATGCTTGTTTGACCAAACCTAACTACAAACAAACGTTTAAACCCACCCACCTTTGTTATCTGGCGAGCTATACCTCCAAAACATTCACCACTCCTTGCACGGTCCTCAGGACATCTTCCCCCGAATTTGTTGAACTGTTCAAACCTGGAATGGATATCGTTGGTGTGTAGTATCGTTAGGTTAAAAAAAGCTTCAACTGTCGGTAGACAGACAAGGAACCAGCCGCCACATAAAAATAACCCTTGAAAGAAACAGGAAACTTTGAGTAGTCTCATGTTGATATATATATATATAGTTGAATCCTGGTTGATAGGCGATATTAAAAAAACCGGGTCACCTACACATTAATTGATTATCTTAACGCTCCCTTCAACCACTTGAAACGTCACAACGATTGCCTCGCACGCTCACAGCAACGCAGGTGCAACACTAGTAAAAGCCTGTGCACAGATCTCACTTATTTAACCCAATGAAAGCGTATATTTCATATCTGTAGATACTTACATCCGCTTGAGGGCTCGGCCAGGAAAGATCAAGGCCTATTTTATATGTCGACATATGCGCATTTAGCTAAATAATCACGTGATCATTATAACCGTAAATCTTTTTTATATTCCCATCTAGTGAGTTTTTTTTTGTTGTTGTTGTTTTTTTTCTCATAGTCCTTGCGGACCGTTGAGCCGATGGCAGATCTTGCTCTGCCATCGTTTCTAAAGCTGTTTCTTATGTCAAGGATGCAACACACTTGACAGCCTTCCCTCTTTGAAAGGGCGAGCATGTTTGGTGGTGACGGGGAGTATCACTTTTCAATTTTTTTTTTTCGTCTTTTGACTATAATTTATTTGATATTTCTGTGCTCTGTGTCTCTTTTTACGTGAATATTCAAACAGTCTTCAGTATGATTTTAGGCTTTACACCTACATTCGTGTTGCTGTATATTCTTGTTTTGTTGTATGTAGACAATACAACACGTGACCTTGTTCCATACTTGTCTTTAAAACAAATTCAAAAATGTAAAGTCCGGCAGGGTAAGGAAGAAGTCTTTATTACCTAGATTATTTTCGGACAATAGACCTACAGTAGAAATATGGACGTTAACATAAAATGAAACGGGGCTGTGACATGATTATAGCTAGAACCATGAAAAACTGTTACACTCGATATAACGAAGATCCACAGTTTTGTATTTTTTATAGAAGGTTGTGGTGTTCTGAATACCATAGCAACTTGGTGGAGATACTTTCCAGAAGTTTACCGATACAATTAAACCGGTGGGACGAAGGTTGTTGAGTTGGATAATTTTTCCTCTGGGTTGGAGCAGAAGGGATAAGTTAAATAAATTATATAGGTGAAGCATAAGATGGTCGGTTGCATTTTTATGGACGGGGTTGTTGATTCTGTCTTCACCAGGAGATGAATTTTTAAGTGTTTGATATAAATATTTATGTGTGTGTGTGTGTGTTTGTCTTGTATTTTGCGCAAAGCTACTCGAGGGCTAGCTGGGCTAGCCATCCCTGATTAATTGTAACATTATAACATAAACACGGCTGAAAGGACGAGCATGTTTATTGGGACGAAATTCGATCTCGCGACCCTCAGATTGCAAGTCAAATGTCCTAACCATCAATCCATGCCAGGCCCCGATATGAATTTTAGTCTCCGAGATGGTAATGGGCCCGTTTATATTTTCATCAAGGAGATTGAAGACTGGGGTGGTGATTATTGCGGGAAATGTCGGACTGTAGTCTGTGTCATTATATAATGATTAACTAAGTTATAATTACTATAGTCAAATGTGTTTATGTTAGGTGTGGTGCCCTTGAAGTATTCAGCAAAATAATTATATTTTTCACTATCGGTAGTGGCAACATGGTTTTCACGTGTTGCCATTGTCGTTATCTTTGCAGACAGATTTCAATTTACACCAGAATAGCGACGGATGAATTTATCTTTTAACAAATAAAGCGCAAAATTTCTTGTTCGTTAACGAGTTTCTAGAGCTGACTTTCAGGGCTGTTAATTAGGGTTTTAACCGAGGAGTTGAGGCACCTTTTGGGAATCAGTGTTGTGATTTTCCCTGAAATAATTTGCAGGCACGTTAACGCTGTTAGAAGGTATTGCAGTATCTGTGTAATATTTCTGGGGGGGAGGGGTAGTAATTCTCTAAGTCCTGAGGTGAATACTCGGAAGATTGTACATTTGATAAAATAATATCTAATCTATTCTGAAATAGTTTTTAATGTACTTTAGACAGATATTATTCAGATACAACTGGAAAGAAACATAGTTATGATGGCCTCCGATATTTTTACGAACCCAGAATCTCGAGTGGAGACGAGTGACATCTGGGATTATTATTTCTATGTCCAAGATGTCTAGGGGTACCTTTCTACGGGGTGTTTTGTGGCGCATCAGGGTTAATTTTTAGGGAATCATAAAAGGCGAATAAGGTAATAACAAGAAAGTTTTGAATGTAGAAGTTACATAAAATATATTGTTCGAAGAATAGCACTGTCTAGAGAGAGATAATTTTGATATTTTTTTCCTCAGATAAGAGCCTGAAGATTTGGGATTGGAGAGGAAGGAGTTAAAAGAAGAATCGAATAGAGGTACACGAGAGCTATCTGCGCTAACCGTCCATGATTTAGCAGTGATAGACTGGAAGAAAGGCAGCTAGTCATCACCACCCACCGTCAACTCTTGGGCTACTCTTTTACCAACGAATAGTGGGATTGACCGTCACATTATAACGCCCCCAGTTGATGACTCAAGAGATGTCAGCCAACCAACAGTACCGACATTTTTGCTAAGCAGCAAACTAAGCACAGTGGACTACATGCAGGAAAGAGTTTAGTGCTAGGCACAGTTCTCTCCAGACTGTATGGAGCTTGGTATATACATTTGAAGTGATAAAACTGAGAGGTTGAGTTCCTGGTTGACGTAGGACCAATTGGAACACAATATATCAAACTCTCCAACTAGAACCACCATTCTGGCTAGAGGATGCCAACTTCATTCTGACCAATGGAAATATACATTAGAAGAAAGGCATATCTCTGGCTCTGTCTAAGAAATATCACTCATAAAATGAAGGTAATCATCTACCACCTCAGATCTAGTGGTGACATCCTTGAGATGGATGGGCTTCAGATCTAGTAGTGACATCCTTGAAATGGATGGGCTTCAGATCTAGTAGTGACATCCTTGAAATGGGTGTGGTGCAGATCTAGTAGTGACATCCTAACGCCAGTTCACTCTTTGCATAGGTAAAACTTACAGGTAACTTCTGCAGCCCATAGATCTGCACCACCTCCATCTCGAGGATGTCACTACTAGATCTGCACCACACCCATTTCAAGGATGTCACTACTAGATCTGCACCACACCCATTTCAAGGATGTCACTACTAGATCTGAAGCCCATCCATTTCAAGGATGTCACTACTAGATCTGCAGCACCTCCATCTCAAGATGTCACTAATAGATCTGCAGCACCTCCATCTCGGAGTAGAACACAGATAGTCCATTGTGCAACTTTGTGCTTAATAAACAAACAAAACAACACTGGGACTTCGTCCCTCATCAGATAGATAACCATCTGAGCTGATGCTTCCTGATTTCTGGACTGGAAATACTTCATTTTATACATAGCTTCTATGACTCCATTACATGGTACCAAAACACTAGAATTGTTCTTAGTAAACCATGGAACAACATGTAAATACAGAGTTCCTGTTGTTCCCTCCACTACATAAACTCGTGCAGTCAACTATTCCTATGCCTGATCTGGCTGAGATAAGTGACTCTCGCATGGACTAAGGGTACTGAAACCTGGTCTTTAGCAATATAAGCTTATAGACTTACTACTATGCCAGTGGGGAATGTTGTTTTGTAATCATGAGCAATCTGCTATCCAGCTGTACAGAGGAATGGCTATAGGTTATGCTATCATTAATGCTAGGCATCGCACCATGGCTGTAAGTAAATATGTTGCTACTAACACATTTGAAATCGTTGGTGGAGAATTGGGCAAGTAATCCAAACCCAATACAGTAAAAGTAACTCAGTGACTCGTGAGTTGAATATGCCAATATATTTATGGTATAAAATAATCAATATTGTTTATCAACAGTCACCCAGCATGAGCCAGATATAGGTGATACACATTTGATAAAGCAACCACTGTGCTGGCCTCTCTAGAACACTAAGGACTTTATCAGTCCTAAAATACAGCATATATTATAAGGACAGAGTCATACAACCTTGAATTATTTACAATTATAACTGCCAGGTAACTGAACATGGTAACTAATGTTGAAACCTTTACCACATCTGGTGAAGTTAAGCTGGATGACAAGAACAGACTCAAGATGGTTTTTAGCATTATAAATGTCTTGTATGACTTCTATGTCATGTTTGGCTCATGTAACACGCTTACCAGTTTTGAGCGGCTAATGGAGCACACACTGAATGGAGTTACCTGGGTCATGTTGTCGATGTTTGTTTGCATGTTTGAGTCTGCAGCTAAGATCCTAAGAATGGTATTTCAAAAGATAAATAAACAGGCTCGAAACTAAAACCGAGGAAATCAGCAAATTGATGATGTTATTCTAGCTACGTTTGTGCATTTGTCATTCTCGGAAGTTAATACCTGTTCTGACTGTGGATGGTATTGTTGTAATGTTGCACGTTATACAGGAATGTAGACAGTTGTGTCCTCCAAAGGTAGAGAGAGATGGACTGCTGTGTATCATTGATAGTGTGATTACTGTACTTTTCATACCTCCTCATAAAGTTAGATAAAATGTTTAGCTGTCCCTAATATTGAACTGACAGACTAGAAGAACGACAGCTAATCCATAACACCTACCACCAACTCTTGGGCTACTTTGACCAAACAGTGGGATTTGAACACCACTCTTCATAACGTGTGAAGTTTGTTTTTGGGTCTCGGAGATTTCTAAGATGGCTGCCAATTTAATGAAATAGACTTTTTAAAGTCCTGCAGGGAATCATTCAAAAACTGATAAACAATTACTTATTTTCCCTAAAAGTGGTTTTTACTCTTCCTTTATGTAGTGACAGATTTGTCATGCAGTAGCTGCATTTTGTTTTCATATTGGACATATATTTCACCCTAAGAAAGTCATGTTGAACTCTGATTGGCTGTAACCCTTGTTGATTGGCTGTATGTATTTATTTCAGTAGAAATTATTTTTGTTTGGATTTCCCCACAATGAAAATCATTAAAACCAGTAAAGCCAAAATGGCTACTAACAAACATCAACGTTGCTTATTATTCTTTCATTGAGAACGAAGAAAAAGGATAACACTTCTCAAAAGCATTAGATTTTAGGCCTAGTTTAGGCCAGTGACAGAAGTTATTTTTCTGTATGATTAATTAAAATGATTAGAACAGTTTCTAGTTCATATTATCAATTTATTAATAACAATCATATAATCAAGTAATCAACAGCTACTATATAATCAGTTTATTAATAACAATTATGTAATCAGTCAATAGCTTTGATCAAATAACGTGAGATCAATGAGAAAACTATTACACTGATGCAGAGTTGATCCAAAGTGGTCCGCTATTGTAATTAAAAGTAATTTCAACCTACCAGCTCACTACAGTGACTTTTAGTAAAGCAATTCTAATTATTTTTTTGTCCACTGAACTCCATTGTTCCTTCAGTATGCAAGAAAACAGTTGGAACTTAATAATGTCAAGAAATATATTGATAAACAAAATTTAACAACTGCTTTAGATATAGTGTCTCAGTTGATAATTTTTGTAAACCATTTAGAGGAAAACTGTCTACAATGGAAGAACAGACACTTCACATTACAGATATCATAAAATGAGTATCTTAAGATTTAGGGAGAATGTGAAAATTGTTATAAATAACTTATGTATCAACTAACAGTTAAATTAGTAACAATTTACACATAATATTACTACAAGAAACAAGCTTTCATAATAAAATGTGAAAATGATAAAAGCAAATTCAATACTTTTGATTGGTAGACATCTTTTAATTTATATACAGGTAATCAGTTAGAGTCACAAACCTTGAGGACAGCAGTGACGGGGGAAATCATGTAATGAACACCAATATTACGAGAAACCAGTTTGAAATATGAAAATCTTCAGAGAAACTCCAAATGTTTGTGAAAGATGTTTTAGTGGTATTACTACCCCTTACAAAAAATTCTAATAAGCAAATTGATAATCACAAACACATATATATATTCACGTTGTAGGAAACTGGCAGTAGAACAGCTTTATAGGAAAAGACAGGTAGGAGAAAACTATGAATTTGCTGCTCTTGGAAAAGAGGTTTTGTAACACAGATGAAGGAAAGCTTCAACAGATAATAATGTTGATATTCAAAGCTTCAACAGGTAGTAATGCTGATATTCAAATCTCGCTCGTGTCGAAGTCCTACTCCTTACTTTAATCTTAAAACAGTACAAAGTATGTGTCTTCTTCCAATCTGCTTAAGTAAATAACATCACCAAGATGTTTCACATTGTCCAAACCACTTCCTTCCACATCATCAGTCAAATAACATCACCAAGATAATTGTGCTTTTGACAATGTTTAACGTCGTCTAAACCACTTCCTTCCATATCATCAGTCAAATAACATCCCCAAGGGAACTATGCTAAGTTTTGGAAAAGAGGTTTTGTAACACAGATGAAGGAAAGCTTCAACAGATAATAATGTTGATATTCAAAGCTTCAACAGATAGTACCACTTCCTTCCACATCATCAGTCAAATAACATCACCAAGATAATTGTGCTTTTGACAATGTTTAACGTCGTCTAAACCACTTCCTTCCATATCATCAGTCAAATAACATCCCCAAGAGAACTATACTAAGTTTTGGAAAAGAGGTTTTGTAACACAGATGAAGGAAAGCTTCAACAGATAGCAATGTTGATAATCAAAGCTTCAACAGATAGTAATGCTGATATTCAATTCTCGCTCGTGTCGAAGTCCTACTCTTTACTTTAATATTAAAACAGTACAAAGTACATGTCTTCTTCCAATCTGCTTAAGTAAATAACATCACCAAGATGCTTCACGTTGTCTGAATCACTTCCTTCCACATCATCAGTCAAATAACATCACCAAGAGGACTATGCTAAGTTTTCGTCAATGTTTGATGTCTTCTGAACCACTTCCTTCCTCATCATCAGTCATCACATTGACTAAAGTCCCCACAACTTTGCCAAGACTACCTGCCATGTGGAACAGACTGTTTACTCCAGCTGATCCTGCACCTGTAATCATGAAAATAAAATTGTTACAGTTTCTAACTCTAAAGGTGGATTATGGAACACATGTAAAAGTTTCATAAACTGTGAGACTTGGAGAGCAAGACAACTGTATGAGTGGGAGAAATAATAGTGCTATGCTTTGTTAGTTACATAACATATATCTGTTATCCTTTATAAGTTATGTGTTAATTACATAACAGATATCTGTTATCCTTTATAAGTTATGTGTTAATTACATAACAGATACCTGTTATCCTTTATAAGTCATGTGTTAATTACATAACAGATATGTTATCCTTTATAAGCCATGTGTTAATTACATAACAGATATATGTTATCCTTTATAAGTCATGTGTTAATTACATAACAGATATATGTTATCCTTTATAAGTCATGTGTTAATTACATAACATGTATCTGCTATCCTTTATAAGTTATGTGTTAATTACATAACAGATATCTGTTATCCTTTATAAGCCATGTGTTAATTACATAACAGATATCTGTTATCCTTTATAAGTCATGTGTTAATTACATAACAGATATCTGTTATCCTTTATAAGTCATGTGTTAATTACATAACAGATATATTTTATCCTTTATAAGTCATGTGTTAATTACATAACAGATATATTTTATCCTTTATAAGTTATGTGTTAATTACATAACAGATATATGTTATCCTTTATAAGTCATGTGTTAATTACATAACAGATATCTGTTATCCTTTATAAGTCATGTGTTAATTACATAACAGATATATGTTATCCTTTATAAGTCATGTGTTAATTACATAACAGATATCTGTTATCCTTTATAAGTCATGTGTTAATTACATAACAGATATATGTTATCCTTTATAAGTCATGTGTTAATTACATAACAGATATATGTTATCCTTTATAAGTTATGTGTTAATTACATAACAGATATCTGTTATCCTTTATAAGTCATGTGTTAATTACATAACAGATATCTGTTATCCTTTATAAGTCATGTGTTAACTACCTAAAGATAACTGTTACCCTATATAATTTTGTGTTTTCATGAGTCTTGTACTGTCTTTATGTTCTTTTATTCTTGTTGTGAGTCTTCAATGTATGTTTCATTGCAGGAACACGGAATTTCATAAATGACATTTTTGTGTTTCTCATAGGTAGGTTGCTGTTTGTTTTATTCCAGAATGGAACTTAATGTCTTGTAGGATTTCCCTCGGACTGCTATATTGAATTTTTTGGCTATGCGTTTCAGTTTTTCACTGAAATTTTGCAGGTAGGGGAGGTAAATGGTAGTGTTTTTCTGATCTTTTATTTCTGTTGTGGTCTTCTTCAGGGAGTTTTGATGAAGGAGGAGGTGTAACCACTCTGTTTAAAAGAATGTGAAGTTTAGCTTTATAAAACTACTACAGTCAAAGTGGCCAATTGAAAAACTGTCACAGTCTGTAATAAAGCTTATCTTTATAAAAGCATCACATCTAATATATCTGTGTAGGAATTTCCTGTTAGTTGAATGTAAAAAACCAAAATAAAAATGAAAAGAAATTGTTTCTTAGTTGGAGATGAAAAGAGTATTATACCATTTTATGATTGTATTCTCCTACTTTAAACAGTGATGACATTAGATCTAGCATTAAAGGTTATTCAAATAATTAATTAAGGTAATTATTAGATACAAATTATCACACTTTATAATGTAATACAGGAATTAATAACAAAGTTATTTCTTTGTGTACAGGTAATGAATAATTTATTTTGCAGTTTTTGATAATATTGGATAAGTAATTAAATTAAATTATGTTTTTCATTGTTTACAAGAAATGTTTACTAGGACTTTTCAATGATACAGACTTATTAAGCTTTCCAGTAACTCTAGTTAAACAAAACTTTACTATTTTGAGCAACATAAAATCTAAAATTAACCAAAGATGAGGCAGTTTTACCTAGCAATATCTCTGACGAGCTTGTTTTATTTATTTACCAACAGTTCTGGTGACTCAGTTTTACCAAACAGCAGCCGTTTTACCTGATTCTGGAGCTGTACCATTTCTCCAAGCTGTGTGGTCAGAAGACAAGCTTCGTCCTCTGGTAAGAGAAGGTTGAGGAGTCGTATAAGGACTACTCTGTAACGATACAGAGTTACTACGTAATAAACTGGAAGATGGCTGAAAAGAGAGTATAAAATAATTTGAAAGGAATGCATGCAATAAAAATATACATGTGTTTAAAAAGTTTTCTTTAAACAAGCAGTTTTTATCATATTTAAAATATATTAATTTTAACACAACACAAAAATATCTATAACTAATGGTCAATATCTACAGTTTCATTAATTAACATTATTCTCGCCAGGGGACCATGCAAAAAATAAAGTAATTTAATGGCATAATAATAATGGGTAATTATCACACAAATTATATTACTAATTATAAAGCATTTAAACCAACACAGTCTGTTAAGTGAACAGTTAAGAACTAAGGTCGTGAAAAAAATGACAATAATGAAGTAATCCAAGTGGATTTAAAAGTAATCTTGTGTAAAGTCGTACATTCTATATGGAAGATATCATATTATTGAAAACAACTCTATTATCTCCTTATACATTTACTTGATGTCTATCATTACTGGATGCAAGATATTTGAAAGTCAAATCTACCCAGTAGTGTAGTTAATGTAGGCACGAGTTCATTGCAATTTCTAACTTGCTTGTAGTTACAAGCTTCAGGAGTTTTTACCACTGGAAACAACACAGGTTCCCCTCCCACTGTTAGCACATGTTAGTCAGTCCAAGTAGCGTGGTACAAACCCTAATATTAA